AGGGGCTTCCATGTACTCTACAGTTCTCACTCTCTCTACTTTTCAAGTGGTTATGAGCCCGGGTTCCTAAACCTGGGCAACACCGCGCTTCCGCTACACAACCACCTCGAGCTACCACCCACTACTGTACGGTACTTCAATACTACACCAAGCCCCTACCTACCCCCTTCTATTACCTTCTTTCACCCCTACCCATGATGAGTTCCTTCGGCGGCATCTCCCGCTTCCTCGACGTGCCCGACAGCAAAAAGCTTCAGGGCAAACGCGACTTCAAGCAATGGAAGCGCAAGACTCAGAATGACTTTCAAGCAGTAAACCTCTGGAGGTTTCTTACCGGAGAAGAAAGGCTTTTGCCTTTTCCCGATCCTGATGCATACCAACTCGATCGAAAGAATGCGGATCCTCCGTCGCAGGACCCAGCGGTCGAGTTCCAGATATTTGTTGAAGAAGATGCAACGGACGTCGACGAAGAGGAAGATCCCCTCGCCTTACCACCATCCACTGTCGGCAGGCGTAAAAAGAAGACAAAGAAGACCATCAAGAAAAAGAAGTCCGAGCTTACACCGGAAGAGCTCGAAGCCTATGAAGAATCCTTGAGAAGAGAGTCCAGGCGCGGCAGCCGTGCCACCCTCGGACCAGAGCAGATTGGCAGACTCCGCACTGAAGGCGTGCAGCTGGAAGAAGATCTTCAGGGACTCTCCTTCTCTAATCGCCTCTCAGTTTTTCGCTTCGAGTGGGATCAAGCAAGCAAGAGCGCGGATCGAGAACAGACAGCTATGGCTGGTCTCGTTGCTCGAGTCAATAACACATTGATTCGAAGAATCCAAGCCTTCGACGACCCATACAGTGCAATGAAGTGGCTAGAAAGCCAATACAGCCAGACACAGGTCCGAGAAACGGAGAAAGCCTTCGATCACTTCGAGAAGATACATTATCGCAAGTTCAACTCTATCCAGGAGTACCTCAACGAACTCGAGTCCGCCAGACAGGACATCGACGACGTAGGAGGAAAAATGACTGACGGAATTATGCTCTCAAAGGTCATTCGAGGCCTTCTCGGCGTTCCTGCCTTCAAAGGATTCATCGAACACTATCACAGTTTTAGGGACCTCGACCCGTCCCTTGATAACTACGATATACTCACGGCAAGACTTCTTACTTGGGAAGACGACCAGAGGACAGCTCGCGAGTATGAAAGAGATACTCGAGAAAAGGACACGCGCCGTGTCAAGCCCGAACGTCGCGACATCAATACAAAGAAGGCGGACAAAAAACCAAATGTCACGTGCCACGAATGCGGCAAGGTCGGGCACTATGCCCGAGATTGTCGCAGCACCAACAAAGAATCTGTGGCCAAGACTACAAGCAAGTTTGTCCAAACCAAGAAGACTACTAGGAAATTTCCTCCGAAGAAGTTCTCAGCTATGACTACCGTTGATATTGAGCCAGAACTCGATATCAGAACCAAACGAGTGATCCAAGGTACGCTTAACTCCACAGCTCGACCCCACTCTGTTACTAACTTCCTCCAAAGCTTAGGAAGGGCTCGGCATGCCCGGCCCGACCAAGGCCAAGGAAGAAGGAGTGAGCAGACTAGCAATAGAGTTATGGAGAAGGGTGTCTCTTGTTTCATTTGTAGGAGTTCTGATAGCTCTTGCTTCAATAGTTCATGTACAGTTCATGCGGCCGCCATATGCTGTTCTATTACTCAGGACATTCCCAAGAGTCTAGACCGAAACACCTGGATCGTCGATATAGGAGCCAACATGCACTTTGTCAATGACAAGAAATGGTTTGCAGACTTCTCAGACTTTACTGAGGAAGCCGGCACCGCCAACGGCACTGGCAACATGAAGATACAAGGAGGTGGGAGTGTCAAACTGCCCTTTCTTACCTCCGATGGGTTTTTTGAGCTTAACCTGTCATCAGTCGCATATGTACCTACCCTAAGATGCAACATCCTATCCACGTCACTACTCTTATGCATGAATGAGGAGATAGTTGGACAATGGGACAAGGATTCGATTCGCATCTGCACTTCCGATGGACTGGAAGTCGCCAGAGCAAGGCAAACAAATGGACTGTATGAGTTGGCTCTCCACCCACAGGTATCTCTATACAAGCCTACCGGACAAGTGGACGACTCGAAAGCTGCGCCACTCGAATCAATGCCACCTGGCGTGCGACCACCATATGTAGCTGCTACGATCGACTTCTCAGACCCGGTTTGGAAATGGCACCGCCGCATGGGTCACCTTGGACTCGACAACATGCGACGACTATTGAAGGTCAGCAATGGGATCAGTATAACAGACAAACAGCTTAAAGCCAAGCTTGGGGCAATCTGCCCTGTATGCGCTACGACACGAGCAATTGTCAAGGTCCCACGCGAACCCGCAACTCGACGCTTTAAGAAGCCCGGCGAGCTACTCCACATCGACACATGGGGTCTCTATCCGATCGCTGGATATAATGGAACAAAATATCTATTGCTCATCACAGATGACTCCACTAGATTTACCTGGAGTACCCGCCTTGGCAACAAAGCTGAGATCCCTCAGAAAGTGAGGAAGCTGCTGAAAAGGATCGAAAAAAGCCTGAGGATCAAAGTCCGTCGGGTACGCTTCGACAATAAATTCAGCAGGAATGGTCTTATTGATGCTTGGATGTCCAAGCACTCTATCACGATTGAGCCAACCGTTGCGTATGCACATTTCCAGAATGGTGTTGCAGAACGAGGCCATCGAACTGAGAGAGACCGTGCAGCAGCTATGCTGCAAGAACCAACTCTTCCCGACAGACTGAGATCGATAATCTCTGAGAGGGGAGAAGAGATACTCCGCAATACTGAAGTATCTGAGAGCCTTTGGCCTCTGGCGTTTGAACACGCAATATGGCTAAAGAATAGGAGCCCTACTCGAGCCCTGAAGACAAAGGAAACACCCTGGCAGGCTCTCTATAGTGAGAAGCCGAATCTGCATCGTGAACATGTATGGTTCAGCAGACTGTACATCACTGTGCCTCACGAACAGCGCATACGAGCGAACCACACGAAATTGGGATCCTCAAGAGCCTCCTTAGGATACTTTGTGGGCAACGAGAGCGAATCTGTCTATCTGTACTGGGACCCAAACTCGAAGAAAGTAAGACGAACGGCTAGTGCTAACGTCGACGACGACAATGGACCTAATGATCTGCATGAAGGCGACGGCATCAACGCTCGTCAGGAACGACCTCAGAGGGAAAACGAGGCAGATAGCGAATCCGAAGGTTCAGATAGCACTGATTCAGACTCTAACCCGGATGAGGATGACAATGCAGCACTTTATGGAGATGGCTCCGAAGGCGAACCTGAGGAAAGAGAGTCGGATTCCGAGTCTTCCGACTTATCCGAAGAAGAAGAACCTGAGGCTAATGACGTGCCGACGGAAACCCAAAATCGCCAAGAAGTGAATGAGCAAGGTCGCCAAGAAGAAGACACACAAGGCAATCAAACAGTCCGCAACCGACCTGGCTCAAGCTCACCCCTCTTCGTACTCGACGACGACGACGACGATTACGAGTTCAATCAGAACTATCAGCGGGACGACTACGACGAGAACGGCGTTCCCCGTCACCGACCGGAAGGCGCACTCTACGAAGCCGACAACTTCTTGGACGATATACAACAGGCCGCCGACGCGGTCTTCGAGGGAATAAACGAGTCTCAAACAACTGGTGATAACCCGCCCGTTCGATCTCGCTTCTTTGCTAATATAGTTAAGCGAAAAAAGGGAAGCAAAACTGTCGACGACTCAGAATCAAACGCCCATCTTACTAACGAAGACTCGACCGGAAACACCGATCATCCAGGTTTTGATCAAGTCAACCTAAGTGAAAAAGGGCGAACCCGCCGAGTGAAATGCCGATCCTGCGGTATTGAAACATCGCATGGCAATCGGTTGAACCACGTTAAGACATGTCTGAAGCCAAAGAAGCGTCGCAAAGAAGGAAAGCCGGGGCTAAAAGCTGATCCCGACAAGTGCGATCGGTGCTTCAAACAACGGCTGGCTTGCTCTGGAGGACGACCATGCACCAACTGTCAAGATGCCGAAGCAGCGTGCGTGGATCAGACATCCATGTCTCAACTGCTTATTACTCCAGAAAACATTGGGATCACAAGCAAAGTAGTAACTATCCGCAATGATAGCCGATGCTACAGATGCAAGGTTAAAGGCTGGAAGTGCACTAGAGTCGGATGTGAGAGATGCGAAGCAGATCAAGAAACCTGTCTTCCCTATAACGCAACCATCGCTGCCGGTTACGACTCTAAGGAGGAACTGGCCAGAAAAGACTCCGTCAGATGTTACTACTGCACAAAGGATAAGAGACCTTGCGACGGCCAAGACCCCTTCGAGAGTCCATGCACTCGATGCTACAAGTCAAAAAAGAAGTGTACTCCCTATAGCACTCTGTCGAGAATCTCATCCGTTGCAAAGGATAAAAAATGCACTAGATGCTTGCGCAAACGCTTGAGCTGCGACGGCAGTCAACCCTGCAATCAATACAACACACTAAAGCAACCATAGCTCAGTTGTTAAGGACAAGGACAAATCCCTGAGCTCGAAGACTCGGACTGCCGTCACTGCATCTCGCAAAATCTCAAGTGTGATCGACGGATGCCATGCTACTCCTGCGCGAAGACGCCAGATCATAGTAAAGCAAGAGCATGCATCTATTGGATGGATCACGAAGGCAACACCAAGAGGAAATACCTTCTCCCTGAACAGCTCGAAGATTTCTATCCAAATGAAAAGGAATGCACGTCGTGTGCTGGAAAGCGATCAGGGAGACCCTGCGATGGAGGAACTCCTTGCGGAAATTGCCTTGACAAAGTCAAAAAGGGCCTTGATAAGATGACACCTAACGGCCACTCTTACTGCAGCTACAAGTCCGGTGAAAATCTGATACGGAAATACCGTCTACAAGCTGCACCAGAGGCCTTCGAACTCAAAGAAAGCAAAGATGTCTCTAGAATTCCTAGAGCTGACAGAAACATCTACTCAGAAGAATCTAGACAGGAGACAAGAGAGAAGCTTATGAACCTCAACTTCCCCGACAGTGACTATGGAGCAAAATCGAACTCTCGCCAACAAGGGAAGAGGGGAAGTGGAGTCCACACTTCGAACACCTTAATGGTAACAGACAATGCACCTTCTCCCCCTCCAACTGACAAAGAACTGGATAACCGAAAGACAGGAGAACTACGACGAGTAGACTGCCTTCTTTGTACAGCAGAGACGGAACTGGAACCTGAACCGCGAACAGTTCGAGCAGCTCTGAGATCTCCGGAAGCGGAGCAGTGGGAGCATGCAATTCAAGAAGAATACAACAGTCTTATTGAGAATGAGACCTGGAAGGTAGTGCCAAGGCCAACACATCAAAGACCTCTTTTAGGGAGATGGGTACTAAAGCGGAAATTGGGTCCAGATAGAACAGTAGCCAGATACAAAGCCCGCTTTGTTGTGCGCGGCTTTGAACAAGTACACGGAATCGACTTCGACGAGACCTTCGCTTCAGTAGTTAAGCCACCCTCTTACAAACTCTTCTTTGCGATAGCAGCACGAAAAGGCTAGTACTGCCACCAAATGGACATCAAGACAGCTTTTCTCAATAGAGAAGTAGATAAAGAAATCTACATGGATCCACCTGAAGGTTTCCCAGAACGCAACGGACACGTGCTAAAACTCGAGAAGGCCCTGTACGGTCTCAAGCAAGCTCCTCGTCAGTAGTACAAGAAACTCAAGGAGTATTTTGCTGAACTGGGATGGCAACCCTCAGAATACGACTCCTCTGTCTTTATGGATCCAGATGCTTAAGCAGGATCAGAAGACGGCCTATACGCAACGGTGTATGTCGATAACATTAACATTTTCGGTGCTAACCTTGAGAAGATAAAAAGCACTAAGCAAGACCTGAATGCCAGGTTTGATGTCTCCGACCTAGGCGAATGCGCATACTATCTTGGTATGCACGTCACTCGAGATAACCTAGGAGGCATTGGCCTACACCAAAAGGCCTTCGTGCAGAAGCTTCTCGCGCAATTTGGTCTTGAAGACCTTCGACCAGTGTTAACCCCGATGGACGTTGCTCGGAAGCTAACAGTCAATGAAGGCCAACAAGCGGACCTAGCCTTTACAAGACGCTATCAGTCTATGGTAGGTTCTCTGAACTACCTTATAACAGTAGCACGACTAGACATTACCTACGCTGTGGGAGTTGTCTCGAGGTACGCCTCCAATCCGAATGAGAGCCATAAAGTTGCGGTGTATCGGATATACGCGTATCTCAAAAAGTACCCTAAACTTGGACCAGAATACTCGGACGAACCCACCGACGACTGCACCTTAGGAGCTGAGGACACAGTCGATCCAGACACAGAACATAATCCGGATTCTACCGAAGGAACGTCTACACCTACCGACCATCTCGACGAGATTGTTGGATATGTGGACAGCGACTGGGCAGGGTGTCATGACACTCGCCGCTCAACCACCGGTTTTGTGTTTATCATTGCCGGGAGCCCAATAGCATAGGCCTCGAAGCGACAGAAGAGTGTAGCTATGTCATCATGCGAGGCCGAGTACATGGCTGCAGCCGAAGCAGCTAAGGAAGCAATTTGGCTGAAGAACCTGCTGCAAGAATTGAAAATTCCAGGCTTCACCCAAGACAAGGTAACCCTCTACATCGACAACAACGCTGCCATCAAACTGTCCAAGAACCCCGAGTTTCATGCCCGAACAAAGCACATTGAACTCCGGCATCACTTCCTCAGGGAACAAGTTCAGGATGGCGCAATTCAGATCAAGCGAGTCAACACCAAGGATAACCTCGCTGATATGTTCACAAAAGCACTGCCTCGTGCAACCTTCGAAAGCATTCTCACTCGCCTTAGACTAATAAGCAAGAAGGACGAGAGGCTTCAAATCAGAGGCTAGTGCCAAGGACAGGATATGTGGTAGGCTGGTCAGTGGGAGTATTGAACAAAGGTGCCCAAGCCACCACAATCTCCGAGGCTATATCTCATTATCGGAGGTACCGACAATAGTAAGGAGTTACCGTAAGAGAGAGACAATAGCAAC